GTCACCGTAAGCGCGGGTTACAGACGGCAAGCATGGGTAGCTCGCTGCTCCACCAGAACCGAACACGGTACGGCGCGTAGCGTTTTGCGAGCGCCTCAAAAACCCAAAAGACCATCACAGATGGGGCCCAAACGGCCGAAGTTCAGCAGGGGTTATGGGGCAAGCGCAATAAGGTACTGCCGCTTCGGCCTGAAGCAGAAAGAACAGTGTGAGGCGAGAAGAAGTCTGACACTCCTTGCCTCACAGAGAGAGAGAGAGCAGTGACTCCTTAAAAAATCTATTCCAAAGTAAATTATATTACTGTTAGTGCGAAGGTCATATAGATTAAAATCATGTAGAAAACGAAGGTATACTTCCAACCTTGTATTAGCTGCAAGAAGTTTTATGAAAGATGAAAGAAATCAGACCGATTGGAGATTCTTGTTGGCATTTCAACAAACAAACAATAAACATTGGAGTGAAGTTTTGAATTGTAAATATACAATATCGATTTGCGCGGGAAAGGTCAAGGATATTTTCAGTCTGTGGCTGCCACAGATATCATAACGTCATGGCAAACACGCATTACATTGCGTGGTAATAAGATATTATATGTGTCGGTTGGTTTGAGCGCTTTATCCCTACGTTAGGCAAAAGTTTTGTAACACCCCCCTCAGTTATATCATCAACCTATAAATGCCCACCAACCACATGGCCATCGGAACGACTCCCGCGCGGAACAATTGTTTGTGTAATCTGGAAAATGTTATTCCGGGTCTGGGTGTAATGTGCATGTGAAATTGTAAGTTGGTTAACACACCCACGATATAGGAGAAAATCTTAGTGAAGCCATCTGCTTTTTCTGCGAACCAGTCATACTTGCCAAGGATGGCAGATAGTAGAGTGCGTAAGGAAATGATCCTTCTCAAGCTCTAGGCGCTGCAGGAGACATTCCGGGCGTCAGGGATGGCACCACGATCTGTAGCCATCTTTATTTGGCCAGGTTTGCGAACGGCGAGTAAGTGTTGCCGCCCAACCGGAGCCAGACCCGAGCGTACGGCGCGCGTTTACGCGTTCTTATAAGTGCCATCAGAACACTACAAATAACCGGTACCTTTGGGTATGCAGACGACAGCACTGTTGCTGAGAGTTACACGTCCGGCGCACGAGCTAGTGGGTCACAGATCCAGACTCTTCGAGAGGCTATGGTTGGGCGCTTGAACTTGTCCTTGGAGGCTGTCTCTAAATGGGGCGATGCCAACATGGTCAGGTTCAATGCAGCTAAAACTCAGGCGTGTCTATTTTCCAGTAAAAGGAGTCAATTTAGCCCTGCTCCAACTTTCCGGGGTGTATCCGTGCCGATAACTGACCATCTTGATCTTCTTGGTATAACGCTGACATCTACTCTCAATTTTGGGCCATACATCGAAGCAAAAGCTCAACTGGCTGCAAAAAAGTTGGGAGTCCTTGCAAGGGTTAGACAATACTTCACTTCACTTCGTGTAATAGCGGTCAAGCGCGAACCTATAATCAATAAAAAAAATGGGGCTCCTCTAACTAGAAGATTCGGGAACAATCACAATGATGTACCATGGTCAGACTCGAAGCATCGGGAGTTTAACAAGGTTAACTTTGTCTCCTCAAAAGATAGCCGCTTAGCGAGGCTTTTTTTGTGTTCATCAAATGACTTCTCCCGCCCAGGGCCGGGTGGGAGGAAGCGTCAGACTCTTACTGACTAAAAACCCCCCTGTTCCTTCTCCTGCTCTGGGCCGAGGTCGCGGTGCCTCATTGCGCTTACCCCGCAACCCCGGCTGAGCATCAGCCCTATAGGGCCCCGTCTGTAGTGGTCTATTGGCTCTTTGAGGCGCGCGCGGAACGCTACGCACCGTACGCTCGGGCCTGGTTCTGGTCGGGCGGCGAGCTGCCCTTACTCGCCGACCGCAGACCCGCGCTTACGGTGGCCGGTGATCATCTGTCGAGCCGCTTAGCGAGGCTAGATCATCAAAATGGTATTTTAGGAACACAGTTGTATTTAGTTTGGACCCCGAAACGAGGGCTACTAACTTTTTTGCCCAGAAGATGGCGCTAACGTAACATTAGGTCTGTTTGTGTAGTGGCTATCACAATAAACTTTTTGACAGCTACAGTGGTTAGACAAAAAGATTTTTTTTTATCGGTCGGCTAACGAGCTGACTTATTACATGATAGTAAGCAATAAGCGCCGCCTATGGATACTCGTAATACCAAAGGAGTTACTGCTCTTGTGGGTTATTAGGGATTTGGGTATTTAGGGATTGAGGAAGGGAAGAAGGAATGGGTATTCGGTAACCTCACTCACGCGGCGAAACACAACATCAGTTTTGCTCCACGCCAGTTTGCTGTGAGGCCGTGGTATAACTCCGGTCGAGACGGCCCATTCCTGCCTTAGTATTCGCTCTTCCACATGTGAGACAAACAGATTTCACGCTATATCAATAATAACGCCATCTATTGAGCCAAAAAAACAGTAGCCCTCATTGTGTCGAACGAAGCACCATAATAATGCAGATAATTTGCTAATTTAGCTCAATCATTCTCCATATTAAACAAAACCCTGTTTACGTTCTGCAAATGTGAATTAATTTGATTATCATAATGTAACTCGCGAAATATATTCATCCAGTGATGAATAAATGTTTTTGAATGAACCATTTTAGGGCGACAAAAATACTTATAAGCAAATCTTTCTGAATGAGTCAATGATAAAAAGGTTTTTTTTCATTAGTAGGTATGTAGGATTTCGAAAGTGGCGCCAGTGACTGAAAAGTTGAAAGGGAACCAATGATGTATAAAACTAATACGTCATTGAAGGGAACCGTTTGTCTTGGTATGGCCATGTGAAAAGGAGGGATGAAACGCATCTTACAAAAAAAGCCATGAGTATAAATTTGGATGGATGGAGAGGGAGAGGAAGACAAAAAAAAAATATGGATGGATTGGGTAAGAAGTGATATGGAAGACAGAGGAGTTAGGAATAGCGTGACGGGTAACGGGACAGAATGGAAGAAAAAAACATATTGCGCCGACCCCAAATAAAATGGGACAAGGGCAGGAATATGATGATGATATAATTGTTATACTTAATCATGATGATGATGATGATGGTTGCTATACCAAGCTTTTTTATTTCGTAATGCGGGATACCTGCCAAATGAGGCAGGCAATGGCCGCTTAGTTCTCTGGCTCTATCAAGCCTGGTGGTAAGCTATGATGCGACCTACGATCGAGCCGACCCATTCGTGCTGAAGCATGACTCTTCCACACCTTATTGCGTTTCCTCATAACGTTAAGTTTATTTGTATTACATTTCGATATCGAAAACAACTACTTAGGTACTCATATGAATTAACTGAGTAAACTATAAAAGTTTCGAGTCACATTCATGTGAAGCTTACATTTACCAGGATTGAATCATTCTAATCATAACAATATGATGGCTTCTTTTCGCTTTGAATTTCGAAAACGTTAAGCTAGAACAAAAATTTCAGTAAGGGAAAGGACAGTGCCTGCAGTAACTTCACTCACACAACAACACAAGCTATGTCACACAGGTTGTCTGAGCTGTGATATAACTCAGGTTGAGCCAACCCATATATTATTTCTATTTTGATACTTATACATACGGAGATCAATCCAATTTCATATGTAATCATAAAATCATGACATTGTTGTATTACAGTACTTATAAAAATGTAATAGAGAAACCAGAAACAATACCATCATATTTATCACCTGTAAAAATAAAAAGGAAATACCACTCTTTTTTTAAACATAAACTAAAAAAAAAGAAAACATTAGTGTAAAGAAGGTTTTATACTAGAGAAAGAAAGCCGAGGTTGATCAATTTATTTGATAAATACTGATTTTTATCAGTGGTTTTATCTATCCCAGAGCCTTCCGCAATAAATGAACTATTCAACACAACAATATATGTATTTTTGTAGCAGTATTTGCTGATAGTATTGTGTTTAAACAAAAAAGCAGTCTCTTCAGCTTTATTATATTATTTAAATTATCATAGACTATAAAAAATCCAAACTAATATTATAAACGCAAGAGTAACTCTGTCTGTCTATCTGTCTTTGTTTCACGCCTAAACTACTGAAAATGTGTCTGAAATTTGGTACGGACATAGTATGGAACTCGAGAAAGGACAAAGGATAGTTTTTAAATAAAAAATCTGCAGAAGCCAATATTTCACATGGGTGAAGTTGCAGGCAGAAGCTAATACCTAAATAAATAATATTGCCACTCATTAAAAATTAAAAAAAAAAATGCATATTTATTGCTAACTATGGTTAATTTATTGTACACTTGACTGATTCCAAAATTTTCATTCAAAGGTTGTCTGGAAGAAATCACCATGATGTGATAAGACCACCCTCATCATACAGGGTTTAACCCTATGGTTATAAGCCTATTCTTTATAGAATAATTAATAATAAAATAACACAAAGGATGTTATGGTATGATTCCAAAATAATTGTTTATGGTTTAGGAATGGTGTGCATGTGATATTGTGTTTTTGTTAATTTACCTCAACATAGGAATTTACCACTTCATAAAAAGCAATCCATTGATATGAACATTGTTTTATGTCAATAAATAATAAGACTTGATCAGTAAAGGATTTATATCAAAGGACAGTTTTTTTTTTCTACTACTATTATATTATAGTCATTATTAGGCATTGAAGAAGTTTTAAAAATTTTCTTTTACTTAAATCTTACTTAATTAAATGACATTTTAAAAAGTAATTAATCAACTGTTAAAGATAAATATGCCATTATTTTCGTACATCCAGGATGAACAGAAAAATTCTTTGGCCATTACCCAACGAAAAAAAAATACTTACCAATTAGGTACCATTGTTTACAAACAATAACGCGACATTGCACCCGAAATAATTAAATCACTTATTTCAAATGTAATTTAAAATGCAAATTTATCTGAAAATATAAGATAGAATTTAATTCACTTACCAGTATACGAAGTGGAACTGTAGGAATCTGCAGAAGACGCCGAAAGTGATCTGCTTCGGTACCGAGCAGATTTTTTCAAAGCGCCCGATTTCCCGCGCTGGCCCTCGAATTTTCCTGCCGCACCAGCTTCAGTATTCCCGCCACGCACCTGTCCAGGGTCCGTCACAGGACTATCACTAGGCACATTAGCTGCTGCGACGCTTTCTTTCCGACTCGAATTCAGCTGATTCGGCTCCCCATGACCGTCAGACATGTTTGAATTTGTATTTTTTAATATTATTTTTTTTTTTTTGTAATATTTCGAATACAATTTACGGTTTTGCTTAATAAAACCTCTTTCGCTATTACACTTGCGTTTTAGATAAGATTTTCAAAAATATTTGCACAGAGTAACGATGAAATTAGAATATCAACAATAAAAACAGCAGTACAAACAACCGCAGTGGTGATTAAAATAAATTTTAAGATGGAAGGAACACTTCGCGGTATAAAATTAAAATCATTTGGTAGTATAACGTTATTTGGTTATTGGTAAAGTCATGAAAAACTAAAAAATTAAATAGAACAGATGGAAAATAGAATTTCTTCAGTTATCCGCCCGAGCAAATACGCACACCCCTCTTCCATGCTTCACCCCCGAAACTGAAATGTCATTTTTCGATCGGCATTCAACCAAGGATTTCATTGATTCCAATAGCATTTAAACGATAAACCGAAAATTTCAGGAGTTACGGTTAATATTTTATAAGAAATCGATTTCAAGCTAATACCAGACAATAATTACGAATATTTTATGTTTTTGGCCGTTTTATATATGGAAATTTCATCTATAAGCGATTCTTTCCTAGCAATATTTCCTATATTTCGTTCGGAAATTAATGAACTTTGGGATCCCAAACAGTAAAATCTTTGTTAATAATAAAAAAGGATAATACTACGATTTTACATTATATTTTTAACATCAAAGATAATTAATCGTTTTTCGAACAATTCATGCCTAAAACCTTAAATCGGTAATTCCGGTTTTCACAACATAAAAATCGTATTTTTGAAACTCAAACGGACATCACTACACTCGCCAATATGGAAGTGAAACGTATGTCAACTACTGCGCGACCAAACAACTAGGAAATAAATAACTCGAAAATACTTTCTATTATTTAACTTGGTGAGTAAATATTTGTAAATTTTATAATTTAACTGTTGTTTATCATATTTGGCTGATTGATCATCCATTTTTATGTTTTGTACGCTAATGGAAATACACTCGATAATCGTCATCATAGCATTCGCCGGCGAACAAAGATATTTTTAAAAGATACATAGCCTATAAATATTGAAATGAATTTCGAAAGCGTTGTAAACAAAACCTTTTTAACGTGTCCTTTGAGTTTTCATTGATGGTTTTCCTGTATATTTTTGAAAACATGCATGTGTGACACTTTTAGTTGTCATGATGTTTACATGTCATTCATTTTATTATTTTATGTATTTAGCGTAGTGGGAAGGTGTTGTTGCGCGTATATTTATCTTTACGAGCGTCATATTGTATTGAGTTAAGTGATAAATGTCGTGTAAATAACTATTTTCGAGATATTCAGCCAAGGCTATTGATCACGGTAATGAAATATCACACACGCTTTTTGACATGTGCATTTTGAGTTTTTTTTTTAATTTTACTATATGAACGATGGAATTTTTCGTCAGTCAGCCTCGAACTTTAGATTTTGTTTTTTTCTGCTATCCATATTGTTGTTATTGCACTGTTTGGTGTATCACATTAACACATAAACACCTACAATTCTCTGATTTATTTATATTTATTTTGAATAAATTCGATCACAGGTATGTAGTAGCTACTTTATTATCTAGTGATATTTATTCTTTAATGTAAGTCATCAGTATTTTTTCTTTGTTCTATGATAAATCCTTTTTGGACTGAAACTACTTACTTTATTTCAGTTTCCATTCATTTATAGCCACTCCTTGCAATGTACTATCCATTGCTCAGCCACTAAATATGTAGCAAAATCATCTAATGCCAAGCGAAGCCAAGCCTTTCTCCATAAATTGACTATCTAACAAAATAATTCAATTTCCAGATATTGGTGTGTTGAAACTTACAAACAATATTCTGTTGTTTATGAATGATTGATGAACAAATTACTGTTGATTATGAATGATATATTATACTAGCTACTCTCATGTTGTTTCTTCCGTTGCTTGGTTCCTACAGATCATAATGTGATGTAAGACAGTGACAGCAACAATTTTATTCTTCAGATAACATTTATCTGACTATTGATGAATCAGCCCTAAATTAATATTCTTATATCCAAATATTCGTCTGGTTGTCAAACCAGCCAGTATCTGGCCACATAACTATCAATTGTATTTCTATTATCTATAGGTTGACTTTAAGATACTTTGGTAGATACCGTAAAACAGGGTAAGTAGATAGATGAAAGGGATCAATACATGTAGGCGAATTTTCCTAGTATCTATTCACGTTGTTTTACCGTTACCTAAACTTTTCATACATTTGCAAAAGATACAAGCAATTACAAGTTATTTGCTTGTGCCATAGTGTAGATTCCTATGGAGAAGACAGGCAAGATACTCCATGATCATTTTCTATCAGTTTGTTCAACTCTCTGTTGGTGTTATCATGTGGTCATTATATCTCCATTTTAGTAATTGTTACATTAATTAGCAATTAGCTGTTTAAATATATTTTAATTGGTCTCCAAACATACAGCAACTCGAGAGTTGTTGCTTTATATAATGACTAATAAGTTCCTTATATTTTGTGTATTTCATTATCACCATCAGCCTGAAGACATCCACTGCTGGACAAAGGTCTCCCCCTTAGTCCTCTACGTCGAACGACAACTCGCTACTCGCTGAACACGCGACTTCTTCGGTCCTTGATCGTAATTTCTGCAATTAGGTGCTCTTAAATATAATTTTAAAGTTACCACCTTCTTCAAAGCAAGCTTTTGTTTGAGCATATCTGCTGATGTTGTTTATATATTGTCATAATATTGCAACAACTCATCATTATAATAAGCTATCTTTAAACAGAAAAAAAATGATATTTGCCTCAACTGAAATACCCTGCAAAGCCTCTGAAGCACTAAGCAGAATTAATTTAAAATACATTCAATGTACAAAAACATTATTTTAACCATTGGAGTAATAGTGCAATTTACACACTAAATAGATGTTTACAATATCACATTTTAAATCCACCTAAACTGCACTGAATTGTGGTTCTACTCACTTTAGTATGTTCCTTCTAAGATCTAAATACAAGCATTTTGCTGATTTTTCAATGGTTAGATAAAATTATCTGGGGAATAATTATGATGCTGTCGCCTCAGAATGTCTGTATAAGACAGTGACACCAACAATTTTATTCTTCAGATAACATTTATCTGACTGTTGTAAAATCAGCCCTTATACACACAACTATTTATTTGTACTCTAGTCTGACCTTTGCACACATATTTAGATATATGAAGTAGTACATTTTGGTACCTACATTTTCGCAATATTCTTTCTTTAGTTCGGCACAAATATGCAATTAATCATAAATAATCATAATGTATCATACCCTAGCTGTGTGAAAAGAAACTGTCTTTTGTTTTTTTTTAATGTTGAACCCCCCTCACGCGGCCATTTTCGTATGTCGTGGGTATACAAACATACAATTCCAAATACACATCACACCCAGACCCGGAACAACACACACAACTTTGTGGATCACACAAAGAGTTGTTCGGTGCGGGAATTAACCCCGCGACACGTTGCTCTGCACCCAGTTCACAGCTTTTGTTGTTGTCACCCAGAAATAAGACATCTACAGGCTGTTATCTTTTTTTAAACCAATAAAAGATATAACAAAGTTTTATTCATACTTTTTTCCTCCCTCCTCAGATCACCATATGGATTTGAAGAAGGTATATTTTTTTTGTTTTATTTTATGATATTTCTATCACCTTTCCTTTTAGTTAATTGTGAAGTACTAGCACTTTTATTTCGTATAAAGGTAAGAAAATAAAGATTGAATCAATACAGAGACAGTAGCTTTTATTACACAAAATTATATGGTGTTAATGAAATGGGCATCTCAGTAGCTAAACAATGACTGTTTTTAAATAGTATTTATTGTTAGTTTTGCCTCCAAATTATATAATGTTTTCTGACCTTTCAAACTTTCCCCGGACTTTCAAGAATATTTTAAGACCAAAATTATCCAAATTGAAACAGCCGTTTTCAAGATATAGAGAGACTAACAAACAGCGATTTATTTTTATATATTAGGCTAGCTCCTTCCTCGTGGTTTGATATTTTATATACATAATACACACACAATAAATAATTATAAAATTCGAACCAGCAGTTCCAGAGATAAGAGTTTAAACATTTTTCAGATTTAAAACACCTATTATATAGTATGGATAACCTCACTTGAAATAACTCGAGAAAGGCTCTACTAGTTTCAAGACACATCGGGACTCTTATTCATGGGAAGCGTGCGCGTCGTCTGTCGAACTAGTAGATCTTTTATCAGTTATTTCATGAAGGTAGAAACTATTTAAAAAAAAAAAATATGATGAGTGTCTCTGTTATTAATCAGGTTTTTATTTTCTTACCTACATACTGTATCTCTTTGAGTTTAAAAAGTTGTTTACAGTAGGGATTGTGACATATGTATTTTTGTCTTACAACTAGGCTAGTTTATTTCGAAAAAAAAAATAGTATTGTTGGGTCCAATTAATATTATAATAGACTAGGTATATAGTAATGACAACAAATATGTATTTTGCATATTATTTAAGCTGTTTATATTAGCTTTAGGTCCTTCATACATTGGTATTGTTGCTAGATTTGTTTAAAAATCTACATGAGTAGTGATTCTGTCTTTTTTATTAGAAAGGGGACTGTTTTACCCTCATTCTTTAGACTTATGTAAACCTATCGGTCAACCTACGTGTATCGTGATGTTTTATAGTCTATAGCCTTCTTCGATAAATGGACTATCCAACACAAAAAGTATTATTAAATTCGAACCAGTAGTCCCGGAGGTTAGCGCTTACAAACAAAATCATCAACTTTATAATATTGATGAGTTTATAAGATACATATTAGATCACTTATCGCTTTTTGTTGACGACCCGACCCGGCATTGTACGGGTGCAATGCTGTCTCCACTATTAATGGATGTTATAAACCTTCATCTCAATCACTCTATTTAAAAACTGCCACCAAATTCCGTTACGTAGTTTTAAAGATTGAAGCATACAATAATAGGGATAATAGGGACAGAGAAAGCTACTTTGTAAATACTAAAGTGTGGGTGAGCCATGTACGAATCGGCTCGACTTGAGTGCCACTACGGCCTCACAGAAAATCGCCATGAAATAACCACAGCGTTACACGTTCACGGCGAAACACACGCCAGTGAGGTTACCGGAGACTCCTCCAATCCCTCAGAAATACTAAAATCTCCAAATCCCAACCCCAAAAGGTCGGCAACGTACTCGTAAATCGTAATTCCTCCACTGTTGTCATGGGTGTCCTTGGGCGGCGCTGATTGCTTACCATCAGGTAATCCATCTGCTCGTGTGCCGTATTATCACATAACTCATCATGACCGACATAGATTTGAATGACACTACAAAGTAACACTTAGTATTTCGATAAAACAGCTTCTCCTTCCTTTTTAGGCATCCTTTACAACTTAACGCCGGAAAGACCCATCGCGTCATCGATTTCACGCCTTGTTTGCGACGCGATTTTGAATCTTAATGACAATGGAACTGGTACCAAAAATCGATCCACTAGCTAGAAAATCGGATTTATGTCGTTTAGTGCTATAATTGCTCGTCCTTAACGGTCAAAGTTTCCATCAGTTGACTGGACATCTACACTACATGAGCTGCTGTTTACATGTGAACATTAGCTCATGACGATACCTAAGTACGGTTGTCGCCTGGACAGTCACCGCTACCATCAGTTGACTGGACATCTACACTACATGAGCTGCTGTTTACATGTGAACATTAGCTCATGACGATACCTAAGTACGTGTGTCGCCTGGACAGTCACCGCTACCATCAGTTGACTGGACATCTACACTACATGAGCTGCTGTTTACATGTGAACATTAGCTCATGACGATACCTAAGTACGTGTGTCGCCTGGACAGTCACCGCTACCATCAGTTGACTGGACATCTACACTACATGAGCTGCTGTTTACATGTGAACATTAGCTCATGACGATACCTAAGTACGTGTGTCGCCTGGACAGTCACCGCTACCATCAGTTGACTGGACATCTACACTACATGAACTGCTGTTTACATGTGAACATTAGCTCATGACGATACCTAAGTACGTGTGTCGCCTGGACAGTCACCGCTACCATCAGTTGACTGGACATCTACACTACATAAGCTGCTGTTTACATGTGAACATTAGCTCATGACGATACCTAAGTACGTGTGTCGACTGGACAGTCACCGCTACCATCAGTTGACTGGACATCTACACTACATGAGCTGCTGTTTACATGTGAACATTAGCTCATGACGATACTTAAGTACGTGTGTCGCCTGGACAGTCACCGCTACCATCAGTTGACTGGACATCTACACTACATGAGCTGCTGTTTACATGTGAACATTAGCTCATGACGATACCTAAGTATGTGTGTCGCCTGGACAGTCACCGCTACCATCAGTTGACTGGACATCTACACTACATTAGCTGCTGTTTACATGTGAACATTAGCTCATGACGATACCTAAGTACGTGTGTCGCCTGGACAGTCACCGCTACCATCAGTTGACTGGACATCTACACTACATGAACTGCTGTTTACATGTGAACATTAGCTCATGACGATACCTAAGTACGTGTGTCGCCTGGACAGTCACCGCTACCATCAGTTGACTGGACATCTACACTACATGAGCTGCTGTTTACATGTGAACATTAGCTCATGACGATACCTAAGTACGTGTGTCGCCTGGACAGTCACCGCTACCATCAGTTGACTGGACAGTCTAATATAAACCGTTATGTCAAACATATAAAGATCATAATTATACCGTTATCCTCAACACATAAATTTATTCGTACATTTAAAAACTTAATTTAACAAAATATCAAAATAACATAAGTAAAAACACATACTGAGACTTTTATGAACCTTTACTTAACCGTTAGACTACAGGCAGTATATTTACAATAAAACGAACCAATCATAACAATTCTTCAAGGTTATCAAAATAATAACAATATCAAGAGAAAATTGTGATACTCAACCGACTTTAGATAATAATATGATAATGTATTTCTTCCAAATGTCTGCTGTAAATCCATATGAATGCGATATAGCGACGTCACACTGTTATTGAATAAAAGATTTGGACATGTATATTGTATTATCTGGTGGAAAGCTAACGGTGTTTTTTTAGTCTCTTTTAACGTCATATGTTATTTTTAGAGTATTTTTTTTTCTTTCATACCGTCCCATACTTGTTTTTCCTCCTTTGTTGGTCCCGTTTAGAAGCGTATAAATTCATATTATACTCACCTAGTGGTCATCCGCGGCTCTGCCCTAGTAAATGTCGAATTTACACGTTTTCAAGATTTAAAAAAAATCTACGTACAAAACTTCTCTAGACTTCCACGAATAATTTAAGTCCAAAATTAGGTAAATCGGTAAAGGTATTGTTAAGTTATAACATTAAAACGAAAAGTGACAATAGTTATATTGTATATAATATGGCATTATATTATATAGATAACCTAGACTTCAACAGGGGTTTCAGAAGAAGGAACGGGGTAGTTTTTAGTCAATAAGAGTCTGACATTCCCTCTCATCCCACCCAGGGTGGTAGAAGTCATTTGATGGTTGAGAAAAAAATATATTTTACCTGAACCAGTAGTTTAGGAGATTAGCGTTTTGAAACACATTGACTCTTTAGCTTTATAATAGTGGTATACATATGGGATTAAGTACGCCTAATGTACCATTAAGCATTTTGTGTACAGTCTCTTCTGTGCCTTTAAGGCCTAAGTCATTCTGTCTCCAGCATTAAATTTACCGAGGGAAGTGAAAAATATTTCGTTTTTTCTTGTCCTCAAATAATATCTTCTGATTTATTTCGTTGCGGGATTATCCCGATATTCTTGAAAACCACTGAACGAATCTGAACGAAATTCGGTACACAAATAGCTCATAGTTTGGCTTTTTACCGCGGAACTAGTTATTTCCTTCATATTAGGTAAAGCGTAGAATTGTATAGTTTCCTAGGTCAAAAATAAATTAATTCGACGTTTCAATACAATAAAATATTGAAAAATAACTATACCTACTTTTATTATTCGATCGATCTATACACAAAGTTTTAGATATTTTGTTGCTAATTATTAAGAAATAAGTAAGCTATTTGACGCAAAAATACTATGACGTCATGCCTAGTTTCATACAAACATAGAAAAGTGTCGTTTTTGACATTTGGATAAAAGTATTGAATTTGAATAGTTGGAAACTAGCGTATTCTTTAATTAAGTAATTACAGAACTTACGTTAATTGTAATAACAACATATTGTATGCACGTGTTGTCTTTATGATTCATTGCTAGACGCTTGTTCTTAAGACGGTTATTAGTATAACAAATTACACGTGACGAATAATGTTTTTTTTAAAGTCGGTTAGATGCCATGTCTTTTTTTGTGAGGGGAAAATCATCAAATGACGTCTCTATCTCCCGCCCAGGGTGAGGACAGAGAGTGTTAGAGTCTTACTGACTAAAACCCCCCCGTTCCTGATCCTGCTGTCGGCTGAGGCCGCGATGCCTTCTTGTGCTTACCCCACAACTTTGTCATGTCTAAGGTTTCGAAAATCTAGTTCCACCTTTTCTTTAATGTTAAGGTCACGCATTATTAAAAACCAAGTTGCTACCTCCAGTACATTTACTATTCGTATTTTATATTCCTCTATCAGACGCACAAATTATTAAAAAAAAAAACAATCGCGACATGCCACACACGAATCACTTCATTTCACTTCAAATTCCTCAAACTCACAAGTCCCCCAACTTACATAACACTTATTCCCCCGTTCTTGAATAATATTTATCGTGGGATACATTGAATTTACTGAAAACACCGATTTACTCACATGGAAAAGAAGAAAAAGAAAAGCTCACGAGCGTACGCGTCATAACGATGCGCACGCTGTTCATGAATAAGTCTTGTTGTGACTTGAAACTAGTAAAGCTTTTCTCAGTCAATACACGTGAATTAAGCGTTATTTTCATTAAAATTATAATAACAATTTTATTGTAAAACTAGCTTAGCACGGGTCCAACTATCTCGCTACTTTTTCCTAATCATCCCCTCTACTTTTCTAATATTTTCTTTGATAAGAACCCTCTCCTGACAATAACAAACACAACAAAAAAAGAATTAGCAAAATTGGTCCAGGCGTTGTTGAGTTATGCGCTTACCAACACATTTTGCGATCCATTTTTATATATAAGAAGATATAAAGCTATTACCACATAATCATATGTACCACTTCATTTCACCACAAAGTTACACCAACTCACATTTCATAATATCTTGTTCCCCAAACTCACATTAATTCCCCCGTTTATATAATTCCAGCTAGTTATAATGTCGAGTGTTGGCCGCGGGAGAGGGTATACCGGTCGGCATCATTTGCGGGAACAACGTCCCGGTGACGATCGAGACCCCGAGTCTGACGCCGCCGCGAGAACACTGGCTGAACTAAGTCCTCGATCTACTGGTGAGTTGGGGGAACAATGTTCCTCACTTTTTATCCTACTACCTTTATCTACCAACTTAATTTTTTCATGAGATATGTCGGCAAACGTGCTGACGGATTACCTGATGGTAAGCATCAGCGCCGCCCATGGACACCCACAACACCAAAGGAATTACGAGTGCGTTAACGACCTTTTAGGGTTTTGGAGATTTAGGGATTGGGAGGGATCGGAGGAGGGGAAGGATTGGGCCTCCGGTAACCTCACTCACACGGCAAAACACAACGCTATGGTTGTTTCTCGTCAGTATTCTGTGAGGCCGTGGTATCACTCCGGTCGAGCCGATCCATTCGTGCTGAAGCTTGGCTCTCCCACACTTATATATATTGTGCTGTACTGTATTTTATATGATTCAATGTTTCTTTCTTTACTTTCTTTGTAACATAACTTTCTATATCTCTCTACACTTATAACAACCACTCATCCCAAATTATTCTCATCCACAGACCCAACCAGGATGGAAGTTAAAAGAGAGACAGAGAGAGAGTCCCTGGAGCCTGAAGTGGAGACACCAGAAGCACCGGAGAATGAGTCCCCGGGTGAAGAGGACTCTACTCTTAAGGACTTGCTCCGTGTAGATGAACAATATGTTCCCTTACTTACCTTGGTATGTATTTTGTACTCTCCTTTTTAAAATAGAGTTGGTAGGCAGACGGATTACCTGATGGTAAGCAATCGGCACTGCCCATGGACACCACCCGTTATACCTAAGGAGTTAAGAGTGTGTTGCCAGCCTTGGGGCGGAATGAGGGAGGGGAAGGATTGGGCCTCCGGTAGCCTTGTGTGAATAAGGTTATGAGCAGACGGATTATCTGATGGTAAGCAATAAGCAACACCAAAGGAGTAAATACAAGTGCGTCGCCAGTCTCTTGCGTTATTAAGGACTCAAGAGAATTGGACTTTTTTTTTTAATGTAATAAGTCGGCAAACGAGCAGACGGATTACCTGATGGTAAGCAATCAACGCCGCCCATGCACACCCGCAACGGAGGAGTTACGAGTGCGTTGCCGACCTTTTAGGGATTAGGGATTTGGAGATTTAGGGATTGGGGAAGGGTCCGGGAAGGGGAAAGATTAGGCCTCCGGTAACCTCACTCACACGGCGGAACACAACGCTGTGGTTCTTCCACGCTGGTTTTCTGTGAGGCCGTGGTATCACTCCGGTCGAGCCGACCCATTCGTTCCGAAGCATGGATCTCCAACGCTTAAATTACCTAATCTCATCTTTCTTTAACTATTTCATCATCATCATCATCATCAGCCTATAAGTGCCCACTGCTGAGCAAAGGCCTCTACTCACACGGAGAAGGTTTGAGCATTAACACCACGCTTGCTCAATGCGGGTTGGTGATTTCCAACTTTATAAACTATTTATAAATATTCTATTGTCCTTACTTCCAGCTAGAACAGTTCTCGCCTGGAGAAGATGGCATCCAATTCAACAGAAAGTTGAGACATTTTGAGACCACAGTCTCATCCATGTGCCCCGACGAGTCGCGTTTGCAGTAAGTGATCTTTTCTTATTTTTTTAAAGATTCTATGTTTTTTTTAATATAATAGCGTATTCTCCTGTGTTGTGGATTACAAACATTCAATTTCACATTAGCCCATAGGCCGGCAAAAAAAGTCAAAAGTCTAAATCTTTTATTTCAATTAGACCCATACAGGCACTTTTGAACGTCAAACAAAGTTTTAAAGATATTAAGTGTCAGTCTGTCGGTCAGTCCTCTTAGTGAAGCTATTCGCTCGTTCCAAAGTGTAGATTCCGATGGAGAAGAACGAGCAACAAACTCCATTGTTACTCTTTTTAAATCAGTGTCACATAAAGATTCTTTGATACTGGATCAACTCTTTGTGTGACTCACAGATTGTTTTTTTTTATTTATTTATTAAAGAATTAAAAATTTCAGTCCATATGGCTTATCTTAAGTAACTTATACACGTTAAATTCAAGCTATATTAATTATTCCTATTATACAAAGCTTATAACGCTTGAAAGCCCGTTCTGATGTGGCTACAGCCAAAATACTTAGGATAATATCGACATTCAAACGATTTACTCCTAGTCCCTCCATAGATTTAATCCTTTCTTTTTGGTACACCAAAAGTATCTCAAGTTGACGAATTAGTTCTTCGCATAAGATGTTGAGATCGTGGTACTCAATACTCATTACTTTATTGCTTTCCACATGTATTCTTAGGTGGTATAGTACTTATAAATAGTTCACATGGTAGCTCCGAGGTTAAGGAGCCCGCTTCTCATGCATGAGGGTGTAGGCTCGAAACCTGGCAAGTACCAATGTGACTATTTCCGAGTTATATGTACTTTCTAAGATTATTTAGACACCACTGACATACGATGAAGGTAAACATCGTGAGGAAACCTGGACTTATAATTTCTCATTATAAGTTTGAAATAGCCAACCCGCATTGAGCATGCGTGGTGATTAATGCTCTAATCTTCTCTGTATGAAAAGAGGCCTTTGCTCTTATAGGCTGATGACGACGAGAAGATGTTCAAAACTGACGGTTTGACTTGACTGCACGGTTGGTGCGGTGGCTGGGCAACTGGCTGCCGTGCAACGTGTCGCGGGTTCGATTCTCGCACGGAACAACTCTTTGTGTGACCCACAAATTGTTGTTCCGGGTCTGGGTGTCTGTGCATGTGAAATTGTAAGTTTGTAATCGCACCCACGACACAGAAAATCCTAGAGTGGGGCAACGTTTTTTTACTTAAGAAAAAAATATCAACTTTTTGATGGAACATGTCCAGAACGTAACCTAAGAGCCATTGTAATGTAACTTATTTTTCTATGTTCTGAGTCTAGGTGTAACGTGTATGTGAAATTGCAAAGTAATATAATATGTAAAGTTGTATATTGTCGTTCATACTGCAATTTGTTTAATCATCATCTTCCTGCCCTTGTCCCGTTTTATTTGGGGTCGGCGCAATATGTTTTTTTCTTCCATTCTGTCCTGTCACTCGTCACGCTATCGCTAACTCCTCTGTCTTCCATATCACTTCTCACACAATCCATCCATATTTTCTTTGGTCTCCCCCTGCCTCTCCATCCATCCACATTTATACACATGACTTTTTTTGTTACATGCTTTTCATCCCTCCTTTTCACATGGCCATACCAAGACAAACGGTTCCCTTTCAACTTTTCAGTCACTGGCGCCACTTTCAAACTTCCTCTAATATACTCATTTCTCACTTTATCCAATCTCGTCACACCACACATCCATCTCAGCATTCTCATCTCTGCTACATGCAATCGCTTTTCATCCGTCTTTTTCAGAGCCCAACATTCTGACCCATACAGTAGGACAGGCCTTATCACTGACTTGTAGATTTTACCCTTCAACCTGAGGGGCATCCGTGGGTCGCAAGTTGTTCCAGTGACCTCTCGCCATTTCATCCATCCTGATTTGATCCGATGTGCCACGTCTCGGTCTATCTCACCATTTCCTTGGATAAGCGAGCCAAGGTACCGAAAATCAGAACAGGTTGGTATGGGCGTTCCGGCGAGAGCTATGGGCACAGAACTAGAGAGACCGCCAAAATCGCAGAACAAGTACTCTGTTTTAGTTCTGCTCAATTTTAGGCCAACACTCTCCAGTCTTTGCCACCACACCTCCAATCTGCTCTGGACCTCTAGGGCACTCTCGGCAACCAGCACAATATCATCGGCAAACAGCATACACCAGGGAGCCTCTTCCTGAATGTCCGACGTCAGAGCGTCCATTATTATCAGGAAGAGGTAAGGGCTGAGAGCCGACCCCTGGTGTAAACCGACAGCCACATTGAACTTGCTAGTGGTGCCTGCTGCAGACCGGACTTGTGTACTGCAGCGACTATACATTGATCGGATCAACTGCACATACTTCCCACCTTTCTCCTTAAGGGCCCACCACAGAACCTCACGAGGTACCCGGTCATACCTTTTCGAGGTCAACGAATACCATGTGCAAGTTTTTATGTGCACCTCTGTATTTTTCGCACAACTGGCGTATAGCAAATATGGCATCCGTTGTACTACGACCAGGCATAAAACCGAATTGGTTCTGTGAAATGTCACTCTCTTCTCTCAGCCGCCGTTCAATAACTTTCTCCCATACTTTCATGGTATGCGACATTAGCTTTATTCCTCTATAATTGTTGCACTCAAGGACATCTCCTTTGTTTTTAAAGATGGGCACCAAAGAACTGTTGCACCATTCATCAGGTATGGTTTCTTCCTGCAACAATTTATTGAAGAACAAAGCCAACCACACCCATCCATCTACTCTTAATAACTTCCACACCTCAACTGGTATTCCATCTGGGCCAATGGCTTTACCATTTTTCATTCCGTTCACTGCTACTCTGACTTCCTCCATACTAACCATTCTCACTAACCCCACATTCACTGGTTTATTCTCTAAAACCCCACTCCAATTATTTTCCTCATTCATAAGTCTTTCAAAATATTCCTTCCACCTCTCTTTGATTTTGTCATTATCCGATAAAACCATTCCACTTTCATCTCTTACACATCTTACCTGGCAAACATCCCTCGCCTTTCTTTCCCTCATTTTAGAGAGCCGGTACAGCTCTTTTTGGCCTGCAGGACTGTCTAATGTATCATATAGTTTGTCCTGGGCTTTTGCTTTTGCTATTGCTACGGCTTTCTTTGCTTTTTTCTTTAAAGCATCATACTCACTCTTTCTTTCAGCTTTCAAACTAACATTATCTGTTTGTACGCACTGCCATTCCTTGAATTTTTTCTTCTTTTCTTTCAATACATTCTGAACTCCTGTCGACCACCACCATGTATCTCTATCTATTCTGCCCTTTCCTTTCGTCTCTCCCAAAATATCTTTCGCTGCTTGCCTTATACATTCAGCCATCTCATTCCAGCTTTCATTTATACTTCGATCATTCATGTCTCCTATCTCTATCATTCTATCCACCACGCGCTCTCTGAACTTCTTCGCGCAGTCATTCCTCTCTAGCCTGTGCCATTTTATTCTAGGGGGCGGGCGCTCTTTGGTTTTCCTACAATGTATTTGAACCACTGATGTCATAACCAGGAGTCTGTGTTGTGAGACTAAGTCTTCTCCTGGCAGCACTTTGCAATCCATCACATACTTTAAGTGGTTGCGCCGAACTAGAAAGTAATCTATTTGCGTCTTATGATTACCACTTTTATACGTGGCCAGGTGTTCATCTTTTTTCTGAAACCACGTATTGGCTACTGCTAGATCAAATGCAGTAGCGGATTGCAACAGTGTCTCTCCTTCATTGTTTGGATTTCCGAAACCCCATCCGCCATGTACTCTTTCAAACATACCTCTCATTCTTCCCACATGTCCATTAAAATCACCTCCCACTATCAACTCCTCATGTACAGGGATGTTCATTAAGGCCGTATCAAAATCCTCCCAAAACTTCTCTTTCACCGTTTCATTACATCCTACTTGTGGTGCATACACACTAACTATATTCAACATAACATTCTCTAACATAACTTTCACAACTATAATTCGGTCATTCATCCTATGTACTTCCATCACGCTTTCTTTCAATTTGCTATCTAACACTACTCCTACGCCATTTCTTTTGCCATCACTTTCACAGTAATAGAACTTGTATCCTTCACCAATTTCTCTCGCTTTTGTTCCTCTCCATTTAGTCTCTTGTAAGCACGCTACGTTTATTCGTCTTCTTTTCAATACGTCCGCTAACTCTCTGGCCCTTCCAGTCATAGTCCCGACATTCCAACTGGCATACCTCAATCTGATTTCCCGAGCTAGCTTCTTACGTTGCACCCGCCCGGGCTGGTGCAACAACCCTGGTCCATTTCCCACAGGAGCCGGGTGCTGCCCCTGCGCGTCGCCTGCGGGGTACGCCCTAACACTATCGCGCATTCCATTCATAACTGACATATTGCTTAGAGTTTGTCTGTTACTGCAATTTGTTTAATATATATATAAAAAAAAAAAATTGTGATTGCGAAAAAGTTTCGCATTGTAAACTTGTCACTTTTGACATATATAGAACTATAGTCAGAATTTTAATTCGATTCCTGATTTGACATGACCTACTGTCATTTTGTGAAATAATGATACCACACGTGTAGTGATGAACACAAAAATCGATAAACAATCAGTGAATCAGTTTCAGGAAGGCATTCAAAAAATTACGGCTACCGAAAGGTCTAAATGCGTATCCCATGTTGTCAAAGAAGAGGAAAAAATGTGTGAGCTAGATATGTCAATTGACAATAAATATCACAGACACGATTCATAATAAATATTACAGAAAGTAATAGCGATAGCGATGACGGCGACAATTTATAAAATTTCTGTTTTATTTGTCATGTTCATTTTTTATTTATTTCACACACAATTACAAAATAAGTCTCAGATCGTTAATTGTCAAAACTAAATTATCGGTCCAGAAATATTTTATTTCCTGATAAACTTAGTTTATGAGATCAAATTTATAAACGAGAGGAATCGATTCAGAAATATGCGATTTCCTTCCTTTTATATATCGAATAATTTTGCAACGTCACTATTTTGTGCGTGTCATAACGTTGCAACACTGAAATTGTCAAATCTGGAATGGAATTAAAATTCTGAGTATAATTGCCACATGTACGACGATATTACAAAAACAAATTTATATACTTTTTTCAGACAAGCATTCGCGACATTCCGCGCGGCAGCCCTGCTGAACCCGGTGACGGCGCGCAAGCTGGCCGCAGTGGGCGCGTCGTTCACTCGCCAGCAAAGGCAGCAACTGCTTCGCGGAGCCTTACTCAATGTTGTCATGCAGGGCACCTTCTCCAGTAAGTCATATTAACGTCCATTACTCTATCTATATTACGATGGTCTATCCGCGACCTCGGCCCAGAGCAGGAGAAGGAACAGGGGGGGTTTTAGTCAGTAAGAGTCTGACACTCCCTCTCGCCCGGCCCTGAGCGGAAGAAGTCATTTGATGATTTTCCCCTCACAAAAAAAAATCGTTTTAGGTGTTAACTAAAGGTAAACAATGTTGGTATGTCTTTTTATATTAAAGAGCTCGTATAAATAAAATACATACAAAGATTATTTAAATTAAGTTTATTAGCTAACATCGACTGGTAAGATCAAGTATTCTATACATTATATCCTGATAAAACATTATTAAAATTTACAAAGAGAGATGCCAAAATTATTTACATTTAGTTAATGATTAGTTTAGTTAATAAAAATAAAATAAGTGTGGGAGAGCCATGCTTTGGAAAGAATGCGCGGTAACCTCACATACGATAAAACAACGCTGTGGTTGTTTCACGCCGGTGTTCTGTAAGGCCGTGCCGAAATATGGTTCTACCACACATTTTTTCATGAAATTTGGCACATAAGCTATTTTTTACCCTGGTAGAAGTGTCTGACAGAAACAAAAATTCTTCTAACAATTTTCATCCCTTTCAACAGAACTGGACGTACTAGAGCGCTCGAACCCGCTGTTCCTTATAAACGCGGCGAACCTAATGGGTGATTACTTCGCGGAGGCTCGCCTCTGCAACGGTAACAAGGTTCACATCCTGGCCGGGCCTCTTCTGCAATACTTGCGAGCTTTACTAGCCGCCCATGATATCCGTGCCCACCGCAGTCTCGCCACACAGGTAAGTTTCAAAATTATATTGTTTATGTGTCAAAAGAATAGATTTATTACCTGATGGTAAGCAAACGTGCCGCCCATGGACACCCGCAACACCCAAGGAGATACGAGTACATTGCCGGCCTTCTCTAGAATATTGCTTTGGAGATTTATTGATTGGGACGTACTGGAGCTCCAGTAACCTCAACGCTGTGGTTGTTTCACGCCGGTTTTCTGTGAGGCCATGGTATCGCTCCGGTCGAGACGACCCATTCGTGCCTATGGTTCTCCCACACTTAAACACGTGGATACAAATGTTAAGAAGTCTGACAAATTGTTATGACTGTGGTACACTAATTAATTGCAATTCAGTATTTTTATTCTACCTAAAAAGTAAATGAGGGTATCCGTGCTACTAAAAGCGTCAATGTATAAATATCTATACTAATATTATAAAGAGGTAAAGTTTGTATGTTTGTAAGTTTGTATGTAGGGAGTAATCTTTGGAACCGCTGGTCGGATTTCCAAAATTCTTTCACTAATAGATAGGTACAATGTTCTTGAGTATATAGGCTATAAAACATCACGCATATACGACTAACATGAAACCGCGCGAGAGTAGCTAGTTCAAGTATAAAATATGTGCTAGTTTCAATTTATTTCTCAGTAAAATTATCAGCCAAGGTTCTTATGTGTATCTCACAGGCGCCGTATCTTGAACATGTTATTGGAATCAATTGGGTAGTTTCCTAGGTCAAAAATAAATTAATTCGACGTTTCAATACAATAAAATATTAAAAAAGAACTATACTTTTATTCTATCGATACACTAAGTTTTAATTGTTCATTGTTTCATTGTTTCAATAAGTAAGCTATTTGACGCAAAAGTACTATAACGTCATACCTCAGTTTTTCATACAAATTTCATAGAAAAGTATCGTTTTTGACATTTGGATAAAAGTATTGAATTTGACTAGTTGGAAACTACCGTATACTAGGAGTCGAGTTGTAATAAATTATTATTTTATTCACAGCTCATGCAGAATGGTCGCGAACTACTCTCAGTGCTGGCCCAAGAGCTGGATGAACTCTCCATATCCATCCGTCTCCGTCTGCTCTCGCCCCCGCCAGTCAGCACCATATGGCTCTTATTATCTGCAGACCTCTGTCTCAATAAATTCCTCCCACTACCAAACACTTTACAACAATTCTACGCAGCCCACTTAGAACTAACCACTGAAGAAAATTTCAGTGAAGTTAGCTACGGATCGTGGAAAAAAAGCCCCGAAAAGGATGAATACAGACCAGACGGTACAGAAATGGCAGAAAAAGTCAGCCAAAATATATCTCAGATTAGTCTGAATAATAATGAGGATACAAAGCCTAAACTGAGGCCGATATTGGGCGCTGGAGCCGGCCTGCTGAGGCAGGAACAAGCGCTATCAGTTAGCCAAGATACTTTTGAGACGTGGACAGCTAAAAATAACCTGAACAAGCGATATGACCTCAACTCCTGGCGACAGCCTGAAGAGGAGAAGAAGGAGGAAGTTGAGTACCAGCAGACCGTTCTACCACCACCACCTGTACAGCCATTCCCCGTACCTGATTATCCACCGCCCAACATAAATAGATACAATTATCCGGAAAATTTCGTAAACTATTTACAACAAGGTGATGGAGCCTACATCCAGAACCAATACACAAATGTTGCTTACAACCAGCAGGGGGGCGACAACTTCCAAAGTTACCCCGAAAGAAATGTCTCCCAGACCCCGGATAGGCCCGTAGAAAGAGTTGCAGAAAGGACCCCCGTTCCCCCAATGCCTGAACGCGTTAACAATGAAATGCAAAAAAACAGTAACCGAAGACCCGTAGAGAATTGGAGGAAAGAGAAATCCGAAGTTAAGGATGATCCTAATAGAAATAGACAGAGAAACTGGACTAGACAAAAGTCTAAAGACAACGGTAGTGAAGACGAAGACAAAGAGAAGTATAAGGATAGGTCTACGTCGAGAAATAGAGATGGTAGAGCCGGCAGATTGAACAGGAGAAGTAGTGGAGACGAAGATGGAACAACAGCCAAGGCGACCCCACGATGCCGTGTCACGGACGTACCGCGCAGCTCAAAATACTGGGACCACGACGACCGATGTGACAAGGATTACAATAGTTAGTAGGAACTACTATTACTATCATAGTGACGCACAGGGGCGTTGTCCAAAATGGGTCTTATGACCCCATGGGGCTATAGACCCCAAAAGTTATAGTGAATATTTTAATTGCTCAAATAAAATTGTAAATTGAACATACATTTGAAATAATTTAGTTACCCCCATTGTCTTAATGTGGGGTCATTAGTCCCGAATTTAAAATATCCAGTAATACATTAGACGATGTGTTCACTAATAATATTCACTATAACGCTATTAATATTCCTGGGGTCACCGGGAATGGTCGGCGGCGCCACCTTTAGTGATAAACTAATGGACTTTATAACTTCATTGGAACTTTATTAGTGAAATTTTGAGTGATGTGGACACCTTAGTGAAAGTGACATTTTAATACCGAAAGTGCATGCCTGTTGGAAATTCTAGTGTTTAACTACAAAAAGGTAATGTACCTAGTCTAGTGGTCTGTGAAACAATATTTTGTCCGATTCTCCGCTGGACGAATTTTATTTTCATATAAATTTCGATAGGAAATTATTATGAAAGTAGATTTTGTACTGAGATTTGAAACCTACTTTATGTAGGCTCTTGAATTTGTCGGACGTTTGAAATTGATTGTCCGGTATCATCCGAGACTTTCTTAGTTAACTTTATAGTAAATAGCGAAATAAAATATGTTCTAAATGTGCTAACATAATGTTAAATAATTATGGTAACTAAGATAAAAGTTTCGTTGAACCGAAGCTGTTAGTTTAGTTAAATTAAGTAATTAAAGGATCAAATCTCGATAACTGAGATTGAGGTCATTAGTCATATATTGATCTTAAGCCTTAATAGGTTTAACTTGAAACAAGATATGTTAATTATAACCTGTAATTTGGACTTTTGGAAGTCTAAAACATACAAATATTGATAAAAATAATACTTTAAAGAAAAAGTTTATCTTTCATCTCTAATATATGGAAGAACTTGTCCAGAGCGTGTATTAGCTATGTTTCCACCCAAAAATCATGATCCAACACCCGGTTTCTGAAAGGCTTGTCAACGCTAAAATTAACTATTCTCTTGTTAAATCTCTTGTCAAGTCATCTGATTGGTTGTTGATAATTCAGTCAACCAATCAGATGACTTGACAAGAGATTAAATTGATTTTAACATTGATCGGACTTTCGGAAACTGGGGGTTAGCTGGACTGATTAGGTGGTTCATATAGGGTGACTGGTAATTAGTATTAAAACGTAATTGTACTCATAATAACAAACAACTTTTCAAAGAAACTATTTTTCTATTTGCTATGTGCGATGTGGGTGGTGTTAAACGGCAAATCGATCGTAGCGCACGACGTGGCAGAAATGTGAATTAATTCTGGACTGTCATGTGTCAAATTGCTTTATTTTCATAACTTCCTTTATAATTTTAAGTAAAACGTAAAAATTTGCGATGTGGGTCATAGTACTTGTGCAAGTTTTATTCGTTTCCAACATCAAAGTGGACGTTACAGCAAAGACAAAAATGGATAGCTGCTGTGAAGAGAATTAAAATTCAAATCCCGTGTATTATAATATCCATATTTTTCACAAGGAAGATACACACTCACTTTTTACACAATTTTTTTCAATTTCGTTGAAAAACTAGTCGAAAATCAATATCACAAAAATATCTTATCATCTACATAGTTGACATGATTTGACAGATGACAAGTCCTGAATATTTGCGGCCACTAGGGGCGCTGTCATCGCGCATACAACGAATACTCATTCGTTTTTTTTATTACTATAGAAAAGTTACTCAAACAATAAAGCGCGGGGCCTCGCCGCTAACATCTGATCGCGCGATGCACGTCGGACACGCGAAGTTTTTTATAAGAAGTATTAAAAATTAAACTACCTAGTTTAGAAAAATAATTTCTTTGGGAAAGTTGCTTGCTACCCTGAGTACGATCAAGTGTTTAAATATGGATCACTAATTAACATTTCGCCCTATAAAAGAAAAAATACGAAATTATGACATGGTTGATTAAAGCAAGGATCACACTAGCGGTCTCGTCAGATACGTCAAGCGAAATCGCTCAACTTACACTGTATCCCCCGCTTTATATTCTTTATGGAAATAATTACATTAATTGCTACTATTGGATAATTTATAGAATCAAGCGTTACTTTGCGGAAGTCCATGACATTAAATGTTAGGGAAAAATTTAGTTTTTATTCCGCGACAAAAATCCAGGCTTGTTGCGGGATGCAATCCCACTCCTAACATTTAAAGCTACTATTGGAGACTTCAAAAATTTAATTGTTTGCTAGCCAAATATAAATGGCTTATAAATAACATTATAGTAATAATAATTATATTGAAATGTTGAAATATGAAGTAAAAAAATGTGTATTCCCATTCGAATTATAACAATTGGAAAGTTCAGAAATTAAATATACAAGGACAGATTATTTAACGTCGTCGTACAAACTGATTTGAATCTTATTACCTTTCTCATATGACCTATGTCAACTGCAATAAATAATTTAGCTAAATTATTTTTTTATTATTTTGGGGCGAATGGTTTTGCTGGAGAATCGCTGTATGGAAGTTATTTCCAACCGCTTGATTTGGAGTCATTGGATAAGTGTTTTTAAAAACAAAATAATGTTGTCTCACACTAGAACTTTCTCCTGTGTCGTGGGTGCGTTTACAAACATACTTTTTCACATACACATCACACAACAATTTGTGGATCACACCAAGAGTTGAAGCAGATATTATCCAAGTTTGTTGTCTCAAAATACGCCTAAAGCTATTTGAGCGCCATCTAGTTATACAAATGCATAAAAAAGTCAAGTCGTAGAGAACTACGATTGATAATCGCAAGACGACTTTTTATTATTTGCTCAATTATTTTAATTCTCTTACCATGACGTCATGAATATTAATATAAAATAGCAAATTACTCGTGAATAGAATTTTAAAACTATAGAAAAATGCTATCATCTCCTTTCAAAATGATAAAACATTGAATTTCGTTAAAACAAACATCAGCCTATTAGGGCCCACTGCTGAGTAAAGGCCTCTTCTCACTCGGTGAAGGTCTGAGTATTAATCACCACGCTTACTTAAGGTGAATAGGCGAGTTAATTAAACAGTTACTCCTATATTATTGAGCTGGGGTTGCGGGTCAAGCGCTACAATGAACCGCGGCCTTGGCCTAGAGCAGGAGAAGGAACGAGAGTGTGGGAGAGCCATGCTTCGGCAGGAATGGGTCGGCTCGACCGGAGTGGAAACACGGCCTCACAGAAAACCGGCGTGAAACAACCACAGCGTTGTGTTTCGCCGTGTGAGTGAGGTTACCGGAGGCCGAATCCTTCCCCTCCCCCAATCCCTCCTCAATCCCTAAATCACTAATCCCTAAAAGGTCGGCAACGCACTCGTAACTCCTCCGTTGCGGGTGTCCATGGGCGGCGCTGATTGCTTACCATCAGGTAATCCGTCAGCTCGTTTGCCGACCTATTACATAAAAAAAAGGAACGGGCTGGTTTCTAGACAGTGAAAGCGACACGCACACTTCCTCGCCCGGGGTAGTGCAAAAAGCCAGTTCGGTGTTCATCTACCGGTTCTCTGAAATAAAAATGTCGGTTTCAATAATAGATATTACTTTATCAGGATCTGATAGTCTATTGTGACCCCTTCTACGTAAAGAGGTTTGCCAAAATCATCACACTTGGTATTCGGCTCGACCGGAGTGGTACCACGGTGGCACGGCCTCATAGAATATCGACGTGAAACAACCACAGCGTTGTGTTTCGCCGTGTAAGTGAGGTTACCGGAGACCCAATCCTTCCCCTCCCCCGATCCCTCCCAATCCCTAAATCTCCAAAACCCTAATCCCTAAAAGGTCGGCAACGCACTCGTTACTCCTCTGTTGAGGGTGTTCATGGGCGGCGCTGATTGCTTACCATCAGGTAATCCGTCTGCTCGTTTGCCGACCTATTCAATAAAAAAAAAAACGGGTAGGAGATCCCAGTTTAGATTGTTCAGTGCTATCGGAGAGTTATGATTTTTTTGTGAGGGGAAAATTATCATATGACTTCTCCCATGATATCTGTGGTATTGGAAATTAATCTAGGCTACGGTTTCCGGCTTACCACCTTACGGGCCGTAAGCCCACAGCTACTATAAAAGTGTGTGAAGAAATATTTTACCCTTTATATCTTTTATAAATAACACAACCTGGCGGAGTGTAACTATTACGCGAATAGTTATCGTTGAAATATGTTTTCACCTGACTCGTAAAACTTGAAAAGTTTTGGTCTTAGGGCTGATTTTTCAATGATTAGATAGAAGCTACCTGGGGAATAATTATGATGCTGTCGCGTCAGAATGTTTGTATAAGACAGTGACAGCAACAATATTATTCCTCAGATAACATTTATCTAACCATTGAAAAATCAGCCCTTTATAAAGTAAGAATTCTAAGCCATGATAATTATATTAATAATGAAATTTTTTAAATATATTTTTCATTATTGATATAAGTAAGTTCTGTATAAACGTATGTGCCTACCCCTTCGTGGTAAAAAAGGCTCGATATAATAAAAATTAACTAGAATAAGAGTTGTGTTGTCATTTAGATTTTTTGAAATGTGATTACGATGTAAAAGGTTTCAGTTTAAAATGCTATGACATTTTTTGACAGTTTTGCCATTGTAACATCCCCAAGATTCGGGGATCAAGGGACGATCTTCGGCCACTGTAAGCGCGGGTCTGCGGTCGGCGAGTAAGGGCAGCTCGCCGCCCGACCAGAAACAGGCCCGAGCGTACGGCGCGTAGCGTTCCGCACGCGCCTCAAAGAGCTAATAGACCACCACAGACGGGGCCTATAGAGGTGATGTTCAGCCCGGGTTGCGGGGTAAGTGCAATGAGGCACCGCGACCTCGGCCCAGAGCAGGAGAAGGAACAGGGGACTTTTAGGCAGTAAGAGTCTGACACTCCTCCCGCCCGGCCCTGGGCGGGAGGAGTCATTTGATGATTTTCCCCTCCCAAAAAAATAACATCCCCAAGATGTCCATTGCGTTACATAGGCATAAGCCTTCTTCTCTCTTACAGATTGGTTTGTTGGAAGCATGCATATAGCCGCTAGATGCATGTTGCTTTCAACCTAGCGGCTTCCTTTTCTGAGGGGTTAAAATCATCAAAATGACTTCTCCCTCCCTGCGAAAAGTGATGCCAGACTCTTACTGAGTAAAACCACCCTGATCCTTCTCCTGGTCCACCTTGGGACTTTGGCAAATATTAATGCTGGCACCCGCAACCCCTCCTGAATATCGACCCTGTTGGCCCATCTGTGGCGGTCTGATTTCTCTCTGAAGCGCGTGCGCCGTACGCTCGAATCTGTTACTGGTCGGGCGTGCTAATTTTGCTCGCCGCACGCGTATCTTTGGGAGTTAAGTCATCTTTGTGATCAATTATAAAGCTATTAAATTGAAACTTTTTATCTTCATATTAAGTCTTGATAAATTGTCCTGTCTATACTACACATTATATTTTATTATTTTTACTTCCTTGTAAATCTGAATACTGCAGAGCTCACTATCTGAAGTCTACAGAATAGGCTATCAGGACTAGAACCCTTAAGCGTCAATTCTACCCCTTCCCAAATGAAATGCTAATCCCCAAAAGTCCGGCAAAGCATTACTTCTGTTAAGCTAGGTGAATAACTATTCTGGTGTTGTGGCCGTCCAAGGGCGGCATCGTTTGCTTACCATCATGTGTTCCTGGTTGAAAAACTGAAGATGGTAATAATAATTCCATATCGAAGTTTGTTCCAGTTACCGTGTTCAGAACATCAGTGCTTGAATTTCCATCTCTGCTTTTTCAGACGGAATACCTGGTGGTCAGCAATCAGCGCCGCCCATGGACACTCCTTATATCAAAGGAGTTTCTACAAGTGCGTTGCCGACCTCTTGTTGATTGTTACTTTGTTAGTGATTTAAGGATTGGGGAAGAAAGGATAGGACCTCCGGTAACCTCACTCAAACTCAGACGAAACGCAACGTAAGTAACGGCTTCACGCCGGTTTTTCCTGCGGCCGTAGTATCATTCCAGTCAAGCAGACCCATTCGTGCCGAAGCATGGCTCTCCTACACTTTCCACTCGTAGTATGAACAGGATAATTTAAAAGATAGAATGTGCAATGGAAAAATAATTGCTCGGGAATAAGTACCTGTATAGCTTAAATATCGTTGTCATAGCAACGGTTTAATAATAAATTAATGTTTAGTTGTATTTTTAAAACTGCAGACTGTGGTAATGGCTTTGTAGGTGGGAAAAGGGCTTAGTGACAAGTTAAACAATAGCCAATGTCAATAATTGTCATTTTCGCAACCACCAGATGGCGCTTTGAGCGGTTTAGGACATGTCAGTTTGATTTCGTTTACATTTTTACCTGAGATCCTTATAGGATAA